CCACAGAGAAGGCTCTCCTCCGGGTAGTCGCCAGTCAACACTGGCCGGCGGATGGAATTCGGAGGAGGCCTAATCTGGCTTGCTTGGAATTCAAGATTTCATGATTTATTTAACCCTAAAACCACTGGAAACCATTGCCAGGTGGCAGCACTTAGCACTGGGATCAAAGCTGGCTTGGCCTATTTTGCAGAAAGCCTGACTAGTACTCGGAGGGAATTCTCGTGCTACAGATTAAATGAGGAAACTGAAGACTTCGGCCAGAATAAAATAAGGGACAAACTTTCATGTATTGTTGCCAAGCAATGGCGTGGAAATCTCCATAAAGGCATCGGGAAGCCTCCATAAATAAACTCATCGCAGAGGGAATATAACAGCCCAACGATCACCAATCAATGAAAGAATTATGTAATTGACCATTTTTCATCTTTGGGGTCTGTGCTACATTTGGTTTGACCAGTGGTTTGGGATATGTGATTCTAAATATATTTGCAACAGACCATAAACAGGCCTTTTGTGGAGACTGTTCACACAAAATAACCACAAATTTAAGATAACCCTCTTAAAAAACGTGTGTGTGTGTGTGTAGGGGCGGGGGGAGAAATCATCTGCAGATAAAATTTCAGATATAAACTGGAAGGAATAAGAGATGTGATGGCCACCAACATCCAATGTATTCCCTGATGATAATGTGTTTTTTCCCAGAAGGTGGCAGCATTTGCCTAGAAACAACTTGGCAATTGGCCGATAAAAATGAAGTTTCACCAATAGTTGTATTTGTCCTCATTTTTGGAGATATGAAAAACTGATTGAAATAAAGCTGCTTGGCTTTAGCTTTTGTTTGGAGTGTAGAAATGGTTCTGAATGAAATGATTCCCTTGCGTGGCTGCAATGCTTTCAGCCAGATAATTACAGCAGCCACAGAAACGGCATCACTGCACTCTTTCTATCTCCCTGTTGCATTTCATCAGTATTCAAATAATGTAGGTATTGTTATTCTAAGTACCAACTGACTTTTATTTGGATCTGAGGCTTTTCTCCAGTGAGGACAATGCTGTGAAGGCTCCTCATATTCAAAGATCCAAATTCTAAGCAGGTAGCAGTTGTTCATTACTTAGAGGGAGTAGATAGGAAGACCTGACTGTGGTTGCTGCTGGTCAGGGGATGTGGCTGGTAAAGGAAACAGAACATTGAATGCCCCAAATCATTTGATTAGGAAGGGCAACAAAGTTTATATGTCCATGGTACAGCTAACTCTGATGCTGGTTATAGTAATCGGATAGTTGAAGGGCATGAGAAGAATTAGAAGGATTTGCGCACGATGATACCAACAGCTACTTTTACTGGAGAAGAGATAACATTTTACCAACCAATACGAAAAAGTGTACAGGCAGTCCTTGACTTAATGACCACAATTGAGCCCCAAATTAAGTGGGACAATTGTTAAGTGAATTTTGGGCCATTTTCTGTCCTGTCTTGCAGTGAATCACTGCAGTTCTTAAGCTAGTGACACTGTTGTTAAGTGAATCTGGCTTCCCCATTGACTTTGTTTGTTGGTAAGGTCACAAATAGTGATCATATGACCCCTGGACACTGCAACCGTCATAAATATGAGTCAGTTGCCAAGAGGCTGAATTTTGACCATGTGGATGCTGCAACAGTCATACCGTGTTATAGTCATGTCACTTTTTTCAGTGTTATTGTAATTTTGAACAGTCACTAAATGAGACCATAAGACAAGAATTACCTATATTTCTGATTTTGCAGTGCCTCCTGGCTAGAGGAGAGAGAAGTATCTGCTTCTAGGCATCACTGAACGTGTGCTTGCTTGTTTTAACTCAAGCCATCTCTGCTGGAGCTCTGCTGCTCCACTAACTGGAGATTTTCCAAAGTCTTTATTTTTGAATTTAGCAGGTTTTTCACTGCTGGAGCCTCACACAAAGATTTGGTCTTTTCATCCCTAGTGAAAATTCAGATTAATATGTCCGCAGTTTATAAAACCTGACATTTTGTATTCAGAGGAAGTAAAATGAAGTGAAAGTAATTTTTGTGGTATTCCATGTTCTCACAGTTACATACAAAATACATACAGGCAACTACTTCAAAGGAATAATATTAGCCACAAGCTCATTTTCCATCTAAATTTAACATGAGGTAATAGAAAAACGTTTTATTA